ATTTTCAAAAATCAATAGTCAAGTCAAGTCAAGTCAAATTTATTTATATCACAATACAGATTGTCTCAAAGCAGCTTCACAGTGATAACATGAAAGTAGTACAATAAAAGGGACACTTTAAGAAATGGTTAAGGGTAGGAGTGGAATTAGTGGCTCAAACTATATTTTTAATGCTATTGTAGCAAGCAAGGTAAGCCGAGGCTGGTGGCGTGATTGCTATTGAGCATCACCTGTATGTCACACAGGTCTTGTATCTTTCACGGAGTAGATCCGGTTAGATAAAAGGAGGACGAGAGAAGACCAGGTCTGGACTATTTTATGTGTTTTGTTTACGTGTGTGTGGCAGTCGTCCATGAGGGGCTGCCACATTACTTCCTTTTTGTGTTTTTTTTTAAAGTGTGTGAACATTCGGCATTTCCGCCTCCTCCTTCCCTGAACAACATACCTCATTACAGTATGTTGTTCTTAAAAGTGTCATTTTCCTGCACATTTCTGTCCAGTACATTTTATACATTCTTTTTTTATTCTCTATAAAATGGTTATGTTGGGTTTTGGGGGTAGGGTTATGGTATCTATCTGTTTTTTAACTATAAATGCGTAAAAATGTTTATGTTTAAATGTCAATGCATTTAAAATGTCTGTGCGTAAAAAAGTCTGCCCTGTGTGTGTAATAAGTGTAAAGTGCACGCACATTGTGTACCCGCCTATAGGCGCATATTACTAATGCACCCTTTAAATAAAAAAAATATATTTATTGACCAACTTTTTGTTGGTCAGTGCCTCAGTCTCCAAAATAGCAACACGCTAACAATGCGCCTGCCCTGAACACACCTTGTTTTCAGACCAGCACGGGCGCCATGGGCGTAAATGCATTAGCTTTTTAAAGGGTAACTAAACCCCTGGTCAGAGCCTGACTCCACCCACTAGCAATATTTGAAAAATGCTGAAAAAATGGGCAGACCCCAGCGGGGCCAGGGGGCGTGCACCTGAGAGACCCGCCGTGAGTGACAGCTGCTGTCAGACTCTAAAATAGAGAGAGACTGGAGTGACGCAAGTAGCTGCCTTTGCAACAGAGCGGCCATTTGAAGTCGAGGACTTTTCTCCCTCACCTTCACCTTCACCTGAAGTGGATGAGGTTAACTGTATGTAGACACAGGGCCAAATCCATTCGAGCCGCTGGCTCAAACTGCGGTCTTAACTCCCGCATCGCGACCGGCATCTGATGAGTTTTGTCGTCGAGTTGATCTCAATAGCGCACGCTCTGTGGGCATATATTCAAATTGATATTCTGCCGCTATGTGAAAAAATCCAGCAAAATGCGCCGGCTCGTTTGTCGACCCCAGAGGATTAACTTTATCCTAACCATAAATTGTGATTAAAATATCCATGATCACTCACATCAAGACGCCGCTGCGGTGGAGGAGTCCATGCAGGACGAGCAGTGTTTGGCACTGCGTGTGGAGCTGTGTGGAGAAGCCCATGTCCACCTCTATTCCGTTACTATCCTGATCACTGTACTAAACACTGATAAATCTATGCCAACTTGAAGCTATCCTAACTGTACTATGCTACTAAGCAACACAAAATAATCTAAATTACAGTGTTGTAGTACTCGAGACTCGGACTCGTCTCGGACTCGGTCTCGAGACCATATTTTAATGGTCTTGGTCTTGTCATGGACTCGTGTGCATTTGGACTCGGAATTGACTCGGACTCGAACATTTTTTTTTTTAGGACTCGGACTTATTCCCGAGTCCACTCGAGTTCAATTCAAAATATTTTTCATGATTATTAATGTATGTTAATTAGGGCTGTCGCGGTAACCGCAATATTGTAGTAGCTACCGCGCTTCTGACAAGACAACCGCAGAGGATTGCACGTAACCGCAGCAACCGCGATATTCAATTTTTTTTTATAAGGCTATACCCTTCTTGTTTTGAACGTACGTAATGCATGTGTATTGAATGTTAAACCAGTTCATAATGATAACAAGACTGTTTATCATGGTGATGTGTAGCCTACAGGCTTCACACAGATAGTGAATGAGAGAGATCGGCAGAGCGCGTGCAATTACCTCTGTCTTTGAAGTCGTGAAAAGCTTGTCGTATCAAAGGGAAGCGAAATATTTGTTGCATCATCATTTTAACGTTCTCTTCACGTGTATTTTCCCATAAATGCGCGTCAGCAGCAGCGCTGTTCAACATCCCACAGCACAAGGAAGCCGAAATAAAATCAGTGAGTCACGCATTGAATCAATGGGTCTCTAATAAGTGAAGCATCAGCTTCAGCGTTGCCTATGCGACGCATTGCTGCTCAGCTGAGCCTCGAAAAGTTGAACATCAATGTTAGAAATAATTAACATATTGTTTCTTTACATCTCTTTTAATGAATCAGCTTTTTTAAACGTGTTCGTTGAATGAACGGTTCAATGACTCGCTCAAAGTCCGTTGTCATAACAATATGCGCGCTGAGTGAAAGTTTTTCAATGCGCATATACTGTAGACGCTGTTTAGTTTCGGTTACAATGCTTACTGAAAATGTCCTCGTTTTTGTCCACATCGTAAACTTTATTTATATAGCAACAAAAACATATAAATTAAATAAATAAATGGCGGTAATACCGCATATCGCGCTATTGAGCCACTCAATATTACCGCAAGGGAAATTCCATTACCGCGACAGCCCTAATGTTAATAAAATATTTCTTTAAATTGATTGACACATCCAGTGATTGGTGATTTTCTAGTGCACAACTGCGCATGACAAATTGTAATAAAATTACTTTTAACACCACCTACTATGTGGCCTTTTTACCCTAAACTGATCAAGTAAATTCAGTAAAAAAAAAAAAAAAAAAAGGATTTCTCTAAGTAAATAAAAGTAAATTAGGTAATCAACCCTCAGTGGTCTCGGTCTCGACTCGGACTCGACCGTCTCTGGTCTCGGACTCGACTCGGACTCGACTCTCTATGGACTCGGTCTTGACTCGGACTCGACTCTCTCTGGTCTCGGTCTGGACTCGGGTGAGGTGGTCTCGACTACAACACTGCTAAATTATCTATATAATGCTATGCTAAATAGATGCAACAATACTCTATCCTGATCGTTTTCAAAAATAATCTAAATAATCTAAATAACTATATAAATGCTATGCTAACTAGATGCTAATATATGCTATCCTGATCGTTTTCATTTTCAATACTCATAAATCCAACTCCTGACTCGCTATAGTAGTTTTGATGGAACCCTGGCTTTTATACCAGGGGCTGCCAAGGGCGTGGTGAGCTCGCACCAAGGGCGTGACAGAGTGGTGTCAGAGAGTTCCCTACGTCAGATAGTACGCCTAAAGCAGGAGCTTTCCGTTTAACCTGAAGAGGGCAGCACTCAGACGTTTTTACACCATATATTTGAAAATCAAAACACTTTATACTCAATTGTCAAAAAACGTACTCGAATCAATGAACAGCATTTATGAAGCTCCATTCTTACAGATCATTAACTAAAAAAAGTTGTTTTGGTGTTTAGTTACTCTTTAAACAACGTGGCGCAGGACATAAAAATGATAACTGGGTTGGCTGAAACTTGCAAAAAACACTTGTGTCGTGCCTGGCGCTGCATTGCGCTACTGAGCAATGATAGGGCCCTAAAGGCGGGCATACACTGTGCGATGTCTGTGCGATTTCAGCAAGGTACCTACTCACACTGAACGAGTAAATCGCATGCGATGCAAAGCCAAAGTTCAGGATTTATGTGCTCACACTGTACGGTCCGATCGTCGAGCTGCGACTTCACTGCTCACACTATACGTGTAATATCTGCGATAACCCCCTGGATTGCGCCTATTTACGTGTATGTATCCAGAGATATTGTCAAAACAAGCATCGCTATCAGTATCAAGATGATTTAGTATTTTCAATTTATGCATTTAATTATTATTATTATTATATTATCATTATTAGGGGAGGCCTATAGGCTAATTTTACTATTAAATTGATCCGCTATTATAATTAATTTGCCACGCAATATTTTCACAGCACATAACCAACGTGCTGTGAGGATAATAAAATATTAATCTTACTCCTCATTAAAAATTGTCTAAAACATTTAGGTCGATTACAATGAATTATATACATATAAAATAACTATTAACAGTCTATAATATGTCCGAACATTGCCATTATTAATCATCAATGAAAATTAAAAACAGGTTTATTTCAAAAACATTGTTTGACAAAATAATAAAAGAGGTGTTACATATCAGGTGGCTTAAAGACGGTGGGTAATATTATCCATTTTGCAACACGAACTGGAGGTAAGCAACAGTAATTTGTAGCTCGTTTTTATTTTAATTTTATTTTTGCTGCAGATGAAATGGTTAAACTTCTGTTTTCGCGCAGGTGCAGTGAGGGAAAAAACACTGAGTTTAGGGCAATCGGTTCGTAGCTTTGCTTCAACTGTGCGATATAGTCACGAGGAGCGACCAAAATTTCTGACATGCCAGAAATTCATCCGACTATCCGATTGTCGATCGTGAGAGGTTAATCGCCTCTCGTTTCTCCCTGTACACTGCACGAACACTGCACGACAAACGACGCACGACAAAGCTGAAAATCAGTCCGACACGAAAATGAGTCGCACGAGTCAGAATTCGGCTCAAAATCGGACGAAAATCGCACAGTGTATGCCCGCCTTAAGGGAGAACTGAAGGCTTACAAGCATGAACAAACAAAGGGAACTAATAAGTTGATTAACAAGGTACATGTGAATTAAATTACTAATTTAACAGACAACTAGAAACAGAAAACTAAGTCACAGGACAAGATCACAGAAAAGTGGATCTCGAGGGCCAGAGTTGTGAGAGTAATGCAGCTTCCAAAAAGTCTTTGATTATGTAAGTTTATGTAAAGTACGTGTAACGTTACACATTATTACACAGAATAAAATGATGAGGTGATTGCCCACTTGTTTTATGTAACTTTATTTCTGTTATAGGGTCTTACCTCCAGCCGTTGGTCTTTGAAAGGGCTCAAATAAACGGCACGCATTGATGAGCTCTTTTAGCTGTTCGGGACAATCTGTAGGAAGTGGCTCCATGACCTTCTCTACACACACTTTTTGATAGATCTGACTCTGGGAAAAACAGTCTAAAACACAGGCACAGAACATTTAAGGGATATTTAGGGAAACAAATATGTAAAAGATAAACAGAAGAGGTTAAAAAAATGTTTTTAATCAAAATTGATTGTGGTGAAGATACACACCTTTAAAAGGAACATCTCGTGTTGTAATTTCCCACAAAACAATGCCAAAACTAAAAAGAGCATGTACAATAAGTAACAGTCATCCTTTATTTTAACAAGATACACATTTTAAATTTGAGTTAGTGTGCCGTACCTGTATATCTCGCATGCCTTGTCGTAAGGATGATTGATATTCTGAAGCTGTTGTGGAGAACTGTAATGGAAAGCACTGTTCTTTTTGGATTTATTCTTCTGAAGAGAAGTTTCTGTTCTTGCCAACTCAAAGCCTCCCAACTTACAAGAAACATACAAATGAGCATATACACATAACATAAAACATAGGATGAAACCCCAACAAGTAATATTCCCTTTGGGTTAGGTTATGTTAAGTGGTAACACTTTACAATAAGGTTAATTAATTAAACATTAGTTAATGTATTAACTAACATGAACTAACTATGAGCAAAACATTTGTTACTGTTTTTTTTAATCTTTGTTAATGTTAGTTAATACAAATCCAGCTGTTCATTGTCTGTTCATGTTAGTTCGCAGTGCATTAACTAATGTTAACAAGATTTTAATAAAATATTAGTGATTGTTGAAATTAACATTAAAAATGATTTACAAATGCTAAAGAGGTATTGTTCATTCTTAGTTAATGTTAACTAATGTAGTAACTAATGAACCTTATTGTAAAGTGTTACCTGTTAAGTGTCCAGCACATTTAGAGTTTGATTGAATCTGTCAAAAAAAAAATTCTGTCAAAAAGTTCTCTTAAGAAGTTTTTTGTACTTTTTGATGCCCAAGGCCCCCAAATATGATGAATCCTTATGAAATATAAGATAAGCAATATTTTCTTCAGTATAAAGAAAAAGAAAAATATATTAATAAGCTTTAACAAATACGAAATGTTTACTGAAATCAAATACTGTAATTTAAATATTGACATTTAATTTATTAACAAATTATTAAAACATTGTATGGAAACTGTTAATTTTGTATTATTATGACAACAGATTTTTTTCCCTATCCATTAGAATACCACTAAATGTATGAACCTTTAAAAAACTGCTAAATAATGCTATGCTAAAAAATAATGAATTTTGTAAAAAGCACTGATTCCTGGACTAGGAATTCTCCAATTTCCACAATTTATATTTAAAATTTTTATTTTCTTGGGTGTAGATTGGTCATTACAGCATTCAAGCCCTGCTGATATACACAATGAATCCAGTAACAGAATACCTGTTTACCTAGCTATTGTGTACATTCAGTGGTTAAAGTTTCCCTGTTAAACCCCTTCTGAAGAGCAGCCATTCTGGACTTAGGTTAAATCCAGGGTTAAAGTGGGATGTAAATTTTTTAACAAAACATTTTGTGGTCAAATTATGGCAATATTGTGAAAGAGAAAATAAATTACCTTCACTCTGTAGCCAGCAGCCACTAGAAAACAGCTGCTTCTGATGGAACCATGCACTTTAAACTTTTCTTCTGACTGATGCAATCTGTATTGTGCAAAGGATTACCACATAATGTGATTGAATTCACTACAGTATTTAAAAACTCCGTTTTTAGTCAAGAGACATAAATGAGAATAAATTAACTAGATTTGTACCTGTAGAGCCCCTGAGCTGCATCCAGACACATTTGAGTCTTTCTGTCCCAGGGCAGATTGCTATTACTGTCCAGGACTTGTCGAAGACTACCCTTCTCACAGTATTCCATGACTATCAAGTAACTTGGATTCGGTCCTGTAAGAAAACAATGAAAATCAGATGTGTTTAACTCAAAAGTTCAATCTTTGAAAATATGAAAATATTTTTTAATTAGATTAACATACCATTCTCATCCTGAACACAGATACCAAACATTCTTAAGATATTGGGTGACTCAAAGCGCTTCATGGTCTCCACCTCCTTGTTAAAGATACTCCTCAACTCACTGGAGAGAATCAACAATTACAACAAAGAAATTTTAGTTTAATCAGTCAAGATGATGATTGCAACCTTATAATGGGCTTTATATGGGGCTGGAGTGGTTGCCCAAGAACTAATGGTTCCCCCAGGAACGTTTTCTGGTTGCATTCGCACCGCCAGTAGGAACTCTGAAGTGACGTAAGCACTCTCGTTGTTGTGAGAGCAACAAGCAAACAAACAGTGCTTGCATTCTCCGTGTTCATTAGTTTACAATCTGTCTAACACGTTATTAGATAGAACTGTTAGAGAAAGATAGTATATGAAAAGCTATTAGCGTATGCTGTGAGGTTGATGTCCAGTGTTGCTAGCTGAGCTGAAATAAATTATCTTGTTGGTCCACTCAAAGTTGCGTTGAATTTTCTCCTCTGCATAAAGGTTAAGAGGCCCATCTATCACTATTTGCCATGTCCGTATAGTTAGCTTCTGGAGTAGGCTATAATGTTAATCTGTATGTTTTACAGATGTAAAACATACAGATTAACATTATAGCCTAATCTGTATGTTTATCTTTTACAAAGCTTTTAAAAAAATGGTTGGTGCTGGTGTTTCGAGTGCGTTCGGCCAATTGAGCCTGCGCGTCAGGAACGGAAGTGCTAAAAAAATCGCCAAAAACGCCAAAATTAAGTATGTGTTCTGAGTTTGTCACAGCACAGAAAAATGTGTTATTAGCCACCCAGCCAAATTTGAATGATAAAAAAGCCGGCAAGTACATAAAATAAGCTATCAAAATCTTGAAAAAATGAGCAGTTATCTCTGTTCTCAAACGCTGGGGGCGTGTTCGCTGGCTGCGTGGAAACCACGCCCACTCGCGGGAAAGCTGAAGACGGTGATATCTGATATTGCTTTCGGGACGGGAGAATGAACGCTAATGCGGGAGAGAGATCGCGCTGAGATCGTGTGTGCCCCGTTCACCAGCAACAGCTGATTATCAGTGAATCCCAGTTGTCTCTGAGGAAAGTTTATAAAACGATCCCGTGTAAAATGATCACTACAGAGGCGGGGTGTTGGCAGTGATCCTCAGCTCTCTAAAAACCTCTTCTTGATGTGATCATTTTTAGGGAATTTAAATAAAGATACCGATCTGTTTTGTATGATCGCATTCAGGTAGTAGCCTATGCATTTCTGTGTTGAAGGCATCGCTAGCTAGAAAACTGTAGGCTCAGCAGCTGTAGTAACTAACTTAATTGTACTGACAGTCACTCGCGATTTGAGCGGTGAATTCGAATGTGCTCGGGGAGTGTTATTGTGTGTAAGTGAGTCATCAAATAGGGGTGTGTCCAGGAGCTCATGGGCTCCAGTGCGTCATCGAGCCCTGTTTTAGCCCCGCCAAAACAATGCTTAAAATTGCAATGGTGAAAAACTGTTTAATGGTCTAACTCCGTATTTCAGTACTTCACAGTTCACAGTCTTTGTAATATGTTTTAGCAATACATATGTAACATTTATAATGTGTTTAGAACTTTTTTGTAGAATTGCCTTTACAGGGACTTTAATTAAGAGAAAGTACTCCGCCATCTTCCTCTGCCGAAAGTGACTTGAACGCACAGCCGTCGTAAACACGACTTCCCACCTCGTACATATGATCTTCCCCAGGAGGACTTGAACGCACCATTAGACCTTACTCTGAAGTAGGAGCTAAATAGAGTGTCGAAGTTATGACATCACTTTGTAGGCCAACTCGGAAGTTATAATAAATATTTTCACGTATTTGCAATAGAGATGTTATCTTATTTACATTTTACAACATGGAAATGTGTAGCGCCGCACTGGACTATATCGCGCATTGAGCTGCAGAACTGTTTGAGGCCGTTATGTACAGCTTTTTTTCTGTGCTCTTGTCTGCGCCGCTTTCAAAATATGTTTCAGAAATAATAATTTTCTTCTCGTCCGGCACTTTGCAACAACAGCATATTGTTTCAGCAGCGACTTGCACCATGTTTCCTTTAACAACCTCTGATGTTTACATTTTACGTGGCATGAGAGTCACATACCACTTGAAATCCGATCGTTCAGGCTAAAGGCTGATGTCCTGATATGTGAATAGGATTTCGAACCACATAAGAATGTAGCTTGAAACTAGTTTCATATGTTTTTTTGGACTGACAATCTGAACGTAGCCTATGTCGGGACAAGAAATAGAAGGAAGAATTCTAGTACGGCTAGAGAAGCTAGCTCGTTCGGACCTTTACCACATATTAACTTTAGTTTGTCAGTGCAATCCACGGTCTTTACATCCGAGTGCCTGCTCATGTGCTGCGAATGGCCGCTCATCCGGGTTACCGCCCAGTATGTGACGTCAGTGAAAACCCTCTATTAGTTCCTCCAAAAGAGTTCCTAGAACTAAAATCGTCCCTAGTTCCTGCAGTGTGAACACGCCGACATCTGGGTACCTCTGCCAAAATAAAAAGGTTCATCTCACTCATAATAAAAATGGGCTGACATTTTTCCATTTGACAACTAAATATATTTTATTACTACTATGGAACAATTTCCCATAACCAGAGTCTGTTATTACCATCTACCTGGGGCAGGGGTTGGTGTTCAGTGGGCATGAGTATCTCTTGATAGCCACAGTGAACTTGTTGTACATCCCTTTGTATAGTTCAGAATGGTTGCACTTCAGAAGTGGTTCATTAGGGAAACTGTAGGTCAGCTCTTCTGGTTTAATCTCTCTAATGTCCTGCAGATGAAGGCGGGGTTTTTTCACTGCCAACAAATGACAAATAAAAAATGTTCCGTTTAGCAACCATTATATTAATTCAGCAATGCTAAAAATTTCTGAAAGCTTCATAGACATCTTGAAATTCTTAAAAAAATAAAAAGCCATGGCTTTTATTATTATTTATTTCATATGTACTTATTTATTATAAAAAAACAGAACAAAAACTTTTGTCTCCCAAATCAAAGCCACGTACAACCAACATGCAAACAAAAGTAACAAAATATGAAATTATGTGTGTCTGGGTCAAAAAGTCTTTTGAAACATATTTTATTTTACATATCTTAGTTCATCAGGTTGTAAAATTTAATCTAGTCCACCTAATTAATAAATTGATATGTATACATAAACAGAGTATGAGTTTTGTACTTACATGACTCCAGCATGTCTTTAATACCCTGGACATCTCTTTGTGTTTGGTCAACTGTCTTTTGCACAGCATCAACTGTCGTGTTTATTCCTTTGCCCTCCTGGGCTAAAGACTGGAGCACTATTAGAAGGAAATTTTATACCATGTAATAAGTAGTTGTATCCTACAAAGTAGCCATTTCAATCCAATTCCAGTTCCATACAAAAATAAGTTTAAGTAGTCTATAACTTACAATTCCGAAGTTCCAGAAAGTCACTCTGCCTATCGTCTTCATCTTCCCGGTACCTCGTTGCTTCTTGAAACACTTTCTCTATACTCCCTCTGTGCTCGACTTGAAGCGCTAGAGAAAGTAACTGAGCCGCATCGTTCAGCCTTTCATTTAGGCCGTTGAACTCCTCGCCGAGATCATACGCTTTTGTGATGCGTTTAAAATAGCCAAGGGAAGTGTATTTCCTTACTACCCTCTCTGCTGACTCCAGAGTGAGTTTAAGTTGTTTAAGTCCATTTTTAACCTGTTCGGGCTCTGTCCCAAAGCCATGAACCTTCACAGATTCCACCAGCTTAGCCAGAGTGGACACACGGTGGGCTAAACGCTTGCAGCGCTTCTTGTTGGTCTGGACCTCCCCACATAGGGCGTACAGTTTTTCTGCAATGGCCAGAATTGGTTCTATGATGTCCATTGCAGCTGGAAATCAAATACATTTAAAAATAAATATTTCTAAGGTTAAGTGTCTTGGATGGCGGAAGCATGAAGTCAAATTGTCACAATGTAAATCTACTGTTTACTGGCTGATTTGTGAAAGATGCTTTATTTTGAAGTATAAAATAATCTCTAAAGCAAACAACTCGAGTACAGATTATTTAACTTGTAAATTTGCAATAATGTCAACAGTAAAAATTAATTAAAAACAAACCAATTAGTTAAACAAAAATGGAAGAGATAAAGAGAGAGAGAAAAAAAAAACGTGACTGTTAAAATACCTTATAGAACATCTAGATTACTATCCCTGATGGACGGATCGGATATGCTATGTCAGAACTGACGAATCGGGATCTCGCCTGAGAGCCCAATCACCTTGGAGTGTAAACTAAACGAGCCAATGCACATTGGCATGCGATATTTGCATCACGTGCCTCGCACAGTGGAAGCACGCAAGTGTCTCACTTCAAACTGTGTGCCGAGCACCCGAGACGGTGTGTGCCGGCTGTTCAGCAGTGGAATAGCAATTGTGGCAATAGACAACAGAACAAAACAACAATTGCTGCCCCTTCCAGCTCCCTGTGAGAGCTGCCTAATCCTATCGCACCTTCTGGGGTGGAGAAAGGACAGGACTTTATGCAGGGAGAATTGACCATGGCTACTCTTGACCACACAGTGAAACACTGGGACACTGGGAAAAGTACCTATGGAAAGGAATGCTACGGAGACCACATCCTGCCTCCAGGGAGGTGTCGTGGGTATTATACTTATGGACTGGCCAACCAGGCAGTGCTACATATGAAGTTCTCTGTGGTAGATTCAGCCTAGCGAGGGTGAAGTCAATACCAAGCAGAGAGTGTGCTCTGTCAAGGGAAAGACACAGGCTTGCTGATTGGGAAGCTGTTCCATGGAAGAATACACATGTGGGATCGCCTGTAGGGGAATCGCAACACATGGGCACCTAGTCTAGCACAAGGACTGAAATTCTGGGCACACACAAGAGTGCTAGACATAGTATTGGACGCCTCCACCTTGTCTGACCGCCGAGGGTGCTGGAGGAACTCCATGCAGGGTTCGCCAGGTGGGGAATTCACCTGTAGAGCAAATAATCGCACATATCCGGTCCTAAAAGGGGAATAGTGCTCCAAGTGAGACACTGAGCAGGTCCTTAGCATTACTGGCTACTTTTATACAGAGTACAAGGGAGGACACAGGCTCTACATGGAGGTTTTAAAACCTCACAAATGTGTTTGGTATTGCCCGCAGCTTTAAAAATGTCTGCTGACTAAAAGCGAGGCGCCGTGCGGAATCCAACTTTCTGGGTCAAAGGAGCCTTTCCCTTCTGCTGTCCTCGATAACTGACAAAGAGCTGTTCTGAGGTCCTGAAGCTCTGCATTCGGTCCACATACAGACGCAGCAACTGGGTTGCACACCTCAGGAATGCAGCTTGCTCTGACGTAGAGGTCTTCACGGGTCCACTTGGATCCGAAAACCCGAGGTCCGACCCGAGCGGGTTCGGGTCCAAAACTCCGACGAGTGTCTCGGACACGGGTCAGGTTCGGTATTAGTGGCCTCGGGTCTCGGGTAACTTAAAATAAATATGCCTTTTCCAAATTGATTCGAGAAGACCCGAATTATTTTAAACAATGTTGGGCATTTAACAAAATTGCAGCATTTAAAACAACTCTATGACCCTTCTGACTTTTTTTTAAGTGAGAGAGCAAATCCGCGCTTTTACGTTGAATGGGATATAACAAGCATAAGCACGGTTGCCTCTGCATTTATTTACTCAGTTGCTCGCTCCACATAAACCAACCCCTCCGTTTGCAAAGAAGAACTAGTGCGCCATCATGTGGATGGATGTTTGACTACATGCAAGTCTTTGAATTGTCATTTAGCCAGGCCTGTCAATCAATTTTAAAAAGACTCCACACTGTCAGACAAGCATGGAGACGATAAAACAGATATTGCGAAAAAGGTGAGGGAAAACGAATATGTAAAACAGAAACATCCAGGGTCATCCTTATCAACAATGATTTGTGATCATTGATGATAAGGAAGGAAAAAAGACGTGCAGTTAAATGCGTTGATGCAATAATGTTACCATATTAAGATTTGATTCAGAACGTCCAATTTGACTGCTATTGTGGTTCTAATGCCCTGTTTTAATCGCATTTTATCTAAACAACTTTGCAACAATGGGATTTTAGGCTAAATAACACAATTTTATTAAAAGTCAATGACTGGTAGAATTTGAATGAAAATCTGTAGGCTATTTTAAAAACAGCCATCTGTAAATTTTACCCTGTGGTGGTTCTAATCATCGTGGTCCGGTAAATAACATTATGCCAAATGTTATAGGACATAAAGGATTACAGTGATGTGTGATTGATATTTTAGCACTCAGTGTGCACTTGGGCATCTATGTTAAGCGCATTTTTGAGAAACGCAGGGCTGCAGGCTGTGCTCACTGTAAATGCCGTCTACGTTCGGGTCCAGTCGGGTTCTAAAGGAAATGGCGTCAGGTCGGGTCGGATCTAATTTTATCGGGTCTGTCTCGGGTCGGGTTTTTCTTTTTTTAAAAATAATTTATTCACGTCGGGTTCGGGTAAGTAGTGATTCGGGTCAATTCGCGTCGGGTACAGTTTTTAGGACCCGAGAAGACCTCTACTCTGACGCTTTGTGAGTCTGGCAGGGGCTGGGACGGTCTGCACCACTTTCCTGTGACCGGCTCCAGGCTGCTGCCTGGATGGCAACAAGCAGGTGGGGGGACTGCAGCCGGCGATGGTGCAGCCAGTGACATTGATTGATGCAAGGATTTCAAGAGTGCATTATTGTCGCAACAGCATCCATGTAATGAATCTCTCCACCCGCAGGCGGATTTCTTTCACTCACACACAAAACTGGATGTGCTCTTCCACATATGACGTGGTCTCGTGGCTCTCGCTGAGATATTATGTGTACATGCTCAAGCATTGTTCTGTCCGCTCTTAAATCTCTAATTGAAGCTTTCAGCCACAGACTTTTATGATTGACTTTGACTTGTTTCACGAGATAGCATTTACAAGCTGAATGCCTTCTTTTTGGTTGAGTGACTGAATATCCTCAGTATATTCATGGAACACTATGTACGATTTTTTACCTTAAAATAATTTTTCCAAAATCATTTCAGTGGTTCAATAAGTCGCAACAGGGTGAAAAGCACTTATGCCCCCGCTTTGCGGCCCTATATCTGCTATAACCCCACCCCACTACGTAAGATTGCCAGATCGGGTCAAGTTCTCTTACGAGAGGTTCTCTCGTATTGCGTAAGCTAGTTTACGCTACGGGAAAGATTCATCTTTGCTGAGAAGTTGAAGCCAAAAAATGATTCCATAATTTTGTAATCTAGCTAGCAGCTCGTTGGTTCGCTCAGAGAAAATGCACAAGCCTATGGGAGAGCGGCGCTGAACCCGCGGCCAATGAGCGGACGGCGCTTGCTCATTGCGTCAGAGCCCGCCGAAAGGGGCGTGGCTATAGTGTATAAAACAGGCTCTCCCAGGCTCAGTCGTTGATTCTTCATCATTCAGCGAGCTACACGCATCCGCTGTCCTGGGAAGAAGCCGCCGTCGTCGAGAAGGAACCTTCTAGCGAGCTCCGGAGACTGAGGAAGCCGGCCGTCTGCCACCTTCAGCCGTCCTGCAAGCTAGCGCCGTCCGACGGCGTATCCTTTTGACTATTCCATTCCCTAAAAGAGCTCGAGCGTCTTTTTCAAGGTGCCTCGATTTTCCTGCGGTTCATGCCGCTCTCTACTCGAAGAAGGAGACCGCCACCCCATCTGCGCTCTCTGCCTCGGAGTGGAACATGCAGAGCTCGCCCTCGCCAATGGAGGATGCGACCACTGCGAAGACCTGCCTCTGTCCTCCCTGCGGGCACGACTGCAGGCGGTCAAGACCGCTCCCGCGCCGCCTCTCACTTCGCCGCGGAAGAAAAAACGCCGCTCCCAGAGGCCGCCGGAGCCCCCTGCGGATCCCCCGGAGGAGCCCCCACCGACCGCTCTCCCTCTCCGCCCCAGCCGGACATACAGTTGCCGCCGAGTGGCCGCTCTGTCGCCTCCGACGACACCGCGGAAGAGATGGACTCTTGTTCGCTGCACACTTCGGACAGCGAGGACTGGTCGTCGATCGGTTCTTCGACGAGAGAGTCTGCGGGGACCCGCGCCGACATTGAAGAGGAACTGTTGCTTCTCCTCTCACAGGCCGTCGACCGCCTGGGACTTGGAATGCCCCTCTTTCGGCTCGAAACCGCTCCGACGTGTCCGCCTCGCTGCACTCGGTGGACGGAGCCGCCGAGAGGGGATATACTGCCATGCCGCCCACCGAGGACCTGGTCGCCGCTCACCTTTGCCCGCCCTCTGCTAAATGGCGTTCTTCCCCTTCGCTTCCTTCGAAAGCGTGCAGAGCGACCTCCACTTTTCATGCTCGCGCTTACGCCGCCGCCGGACAGGCCGCTTCAGCGCTGCATTTCATGTCAGTCCTCCAAGTGCTACAGAGCGACATCTTGTGCAAGATGGCGAAGAGCGGTAGGAACCCGCCCATCCTTTCGGATTTGAGAAGCGCGACGGACCTCTCCCTTCGCGCCACTAAAGCCGCCGCACAAGCCCTGGGGAGATGTATGGCCACCCTCTGTGTTGCTGAGAGACACTTGTGGCTCACGCTTGCCGACATGGGAGATTCAGAACGCGCCGTTTTCCTCAACGCGCCTATCTCTCCGACCGGCCTCTTCGGATCTGCCCTTCACGGGCATCGTCGACCGCTTCTCCGAGGTACAAAAAGCCACCCAGGCCATGAACATGTTCCTGTCCCGCCGCGCCAGCACTTCTGCAGGCCGCCCTCGCGAGCCCCCTGCCAGAACCCCGCAATAGCGCCCGCCTCAGCAAGCTCAGCAGCCCCGGGGTAGACAGGGCGGCCGCCCTCGCTCTCGCTCTGACAGCCGCCGCAGACAGC